TCCCTTGTACCTAAAAGAATGGTTGTGCTGGTTTTGAGAAGGGGCATCGACCTTGTGACTTCCGAAGGAATTCGGCTTTCCTCATGAGACGTCATAACTATTCTGGAAGAAAATATTCTAACTCCCAGGGCACAGTTAAAACGGTTTGTATTATGTTTTCTGGTCAGCCTTTTTTAGAGGGTTAGTTTTCTATCGGATGGGGCCCCCAACCCCATCCCCTACCATCCTCCTTAATCCGGGCTTGGGACTGGCAGTGGCCCCAAAAGGGCTCCAGGCGGAGTTATGTTGAAATTACGGCCTCTCTAATCTCTCTGCACTGATTCTCCATAGTGCTTTCTCATTCTTTCAGTAGATCATCAATGGCTTGGAACTTGTTGCTGAGAGCTATCTTGAATTCGTTAGGTTTGCCAGTTCCCCGAAGAATGCTGACCGTAAAAAAGTCGTCTTACATCATTCGAAGTGAGTTACAAATTACTATTGATTGAAGCTAATAGTGATAGTGTGATTAGGCATGCAACATTTCTGAAATGGGAAAATTGCTTTATCATGGATTTCAGAGAACACTAAATCTATGGGAGAGATGTTATCAATGTTATTAGGTAACTGTGTACATCCTGTTAGTAGTTAGGTAATTCTGTCATCTACCAAACAGAAGAGAAAATTATTTGCAAATTTTATTACTTGACTTAAGTAACCACATATAAACTTTTTTGTGAACTGATGGAAAAGACAAATATTATGTAGTTTGGAACATTTTTATATGATGGGTGACTATCAATTTCCAGTTGCACGTATGAAAATTTACATGGAAAAGTGTTGGAGCTTTATACTAGCCGATACAAGGACGCGACCTTTGAGTTGCCAATATGATACAAGAATAAGACTTGTTACTTTATGGTTGGAGGACGGTCCAATACCAACTTGCTTAACCGAAAAGGATGAACAAAAACCAGTGATCACCACCAATTCACGATTCCTTACTGTATTTCACACATATCTTAAAATACATACGTGATCAGACCAAATCTCATGCAAAATTAACAACAACACATGAGTGAGCCAAAAAGGCTGTAAGTGTGGCAGATTGTAAATAATAAACCATGAAGAAATTAGGAACAGTAAGTCGTATAATAATAATTTATGGGTTAATAGAAAGCATATGATAAAAGGGATATATATATATATATATATATATATATATATATATATATATATATATATAACTGATAGGTTAATTAATTAATGATCAATAATTAATAATAATCAATATTCCACAAATTGGTTGCCCAAATTCCTATTTACTTCAGTCTTCATCTGGATATAACAAAAAGTAACGCGAAGTACTTTAGTAGCGTACTTAGTCATAGTAAAAAAAATTCTCTAATTAATAGCATTCACATGATCGTAGTCAAAATATGTAGTTAATTGGAATCTTAAAAATGTCATTGATTAAAAAACAAAAATACTGAAGTCTTTTCTTGCAAAACAATTATTTTTGTTACTTAGGTTTTGAAGAAAATGGAATCATTCTCTATTTTATGTCATACATATAAGCATCATAATCATAGAAAGAATCGATACACAAACATCATGAATCGAAGATGATATATTTAATAAATTAATTTTCAAGGAGTCAGTTAGCTGTGCATAGAGCTATGACATTAAACAACAAATAATATCAAGCAAAACTACTGTCGTCTTCCAATTTGTACTAACTAATCGAATTGTGTGGCAAAACAGATTTATATACCTTTTAAAACTGTAAGACATCGATAGTTAAAAAACTCACACGCTGTAAATAGAAGTGTGCAAGAAAAGGCAGTTGAGTTTAGGTCTCCAAGAATTACACAGTGATCAACGTGAGGTCTCTTATCTACAGAGTCAACTAATTTATGTCAGGTTTATTGGAATAAACAAAATATCTAAATATTTCATGGTTTGAATATAATGACTGTCAGATCATATATATTTCGAGATTTGTGATAAACGATTACAGATCAACATTCAAAACCCAACATTAAACACAAACAAAATTAGCAAAACTGAAAAGAAGTAGCAGCACTGAACTTTTATATGTCAAGAGAAGACAGCGGTGTGACTAATACATCAAAAAATTTAATGTTTTTATCCAATGTGACCAGTGTAAGCTATGTGATTTGGCCTAGGAGCCAGGCTCAAATTTATATTAGAGTAGGAAAGTTCACAGCAATGCCTGCTGTTAAAGCAACTGTAAAAAGTTATACGAATAATTATTAGAGTCAACGTTAACAACACGCAATTTTCTTTCTGAATGAAATGTTGGTTCTCAGAAGGAGTCATTTATATTTTGAAGTAATTATGTGTCGGTTAACTAACTTAAATATAGTTTTACATTTTCTTTCTACAATTTGACAAACTGTACATCAGGATAGGTTTTACGTTGCATCTGCAAACTTAATTAGTCAGCCGTGATAACTAGCCAATCATGAGGAATCGTATGAAGTGTGCTTATCGAAAGTTATACAAAAGTCAGTTTTTATTAATATCCCAAAACAAAATATTTAATCTTTCAAAGCTGCTTCTGTTGCATATTTTACTCTAAAAATAATAACATGATGGATTCTTTTCGAAGGCTGACTTTGCATGTTTGTTATAATTCAGCAGTCTACTGGACAAAGTTTAAAGTGAAGTGAATATTGAAGACCAACTGATATTTCGTTTCCTTTTTATCAAAAACTAACAATGAAAGATTTCTAGCAATTTATTTTAGGGCCAAATTTAAGAGACCTTTCCATGTTCCATCATTTACTGCAGTGAGCGAAATATAAAAATATGTCCCCAGAATATGTTTTTATTTTTGTTTTAAACTTAATCAGTCGATTGATGGGCTCTAAAAAAATACCCAAAGAGCTTTAGTACTTTGGGTTTCACACTACACATTAAGGATAAATCGTCGACCATACTCTTCTGTAAGTGATTTTCTGTGGTCGAAATTCCTCTAGAGAGACTTGCTTTTGATCGAGGTTATTATGAAAGCAACTTCAGTGAACTAAACACAGATCCCGTTTCCATTTTTATCTGTCGATAAATTGCGTTAGTGAGGCTCAAGTATATAATTAGACAGTAGGAATTCGAAGATTCGTTTGTAAAAACCAGATGACAAATAGACACACGGGTTTTGCTGATTGTGCGACTACAAATAGAAAACTGACACCCAATAATGTTATCGTTTTATTAGAACCGATCAATTCACTGACCACTCACATACAACGAAGTTCTGTCGTACACAGAATATTAATTTTAGACTCCATTTCACGGTTTGAGTTATCCATTGTTTAAATGAATAGCACTGTGTCTCAACATTTCTAGAATAAAATTAAGAGGTAAGTGGATAATGTAGTGAGGGTATTTTAGAACCAGAAGTTTTTAATTTCGTTAATTACTTTGTGGACGGACCTTACATCATCATATTTCTTTCCAAGGAATCCATAAATCCTCCTTTGATATAAATTTTTCACACAACTTATTGTAAAATCTAATACCACAGCCACCAACATGACGTAATGATCTTCACGACCGAATGACTAAGTTTCGAAGTCAGAAGCTCATGTGGAGCTACGTCAGTTGGTTCTGAAATCGATAACTCTTCTTTATGGAATTTTGAAGCATCTTTCAGAATGGTCTGTCAGAGGACGACAAACATAAAGTAAGTCCTGAACACTGCGAAATTCTGTCCTGGAGAATCTAAATTTGACCTTGAGTGTGTAAAAGTGATATAAGGAAACTGTGAAAGACAGCAATTATTATTATTATCGTCGTCCACTAAGTTGGTTTTTTCAGTTTACTTCATTACCGATTATAAGTAAACGTAAATTTAAATAACAGGAATAGTCACTAAAAAACATTTGAAGACGTGAAATATGCCACTAATACTATCATTATAATGTAAGTTGAAATGTTTCCTTGTGGAATTAACAACATAATTTGTGACTTTCTTCCTCAATTATCAAACACTTTAGCCTGATAATTTAAACTCGCTTTACCTAAAACAAACCCCTTTGTTACACATCCAAAATGTCTATACTTTGATGGTAAAACATATTGGGGTTTATGTCATTTGGAGTCCATGAAAGTGATACAACAGTATCCTAGTAATTTGACAGGTATTGATTTGTGATGAAAATAATGATAAAAATAATACTGTGATTATTTATTTGAATTTAGACACATATCAACCACACGCCTTTTATCCTGTACAGTTCGACATCATCAGCAGTGAAACTAGTGGACAGACATATACTACAATAACAGTTACCTCATGGGCCGAATATTTCAACCAACTAAATTTTTAGTTCTAAAAGTGGATTATTACTTAATTCTAATTGGTCAATTAGAGAATTGATCAGGATATGAGAATCAATTTCTTCAGAATTGTTGGATTACAAATCTGCAGCATCAGATTCGTTTTACAAAATAGTCATTTGTTATACATTCATACCAAACAAATTATTATGGCGGAATTAAAACCTTGTCCCCTTTATCTATTCTGAACCCGGTGTAGTCTGTTCAATCAGATATAACCGCTGCACAAATACGTTTTACTCAAGTAAGAATTTCTATTAGTGCCTCGTAGTTATAGAAAAAGTACAAAGACAATATTGATCAATATTATTACATAGTTTTACTGTTATTTTGTTTTCATTTTGCTTGTTATTCAACTATTTAGTTCATGTAGAGTGCCTTCTTGTTTTCGTCATAACAGACTATCATTTCAGCTTTTTATTTTGTGAATCAATGTAGATGCTTTGTTTCTAAAACATTATTGTAAAAGTTACACAAACAAATCTATTTGCTTGCTTTTTTATGCTGCTTCATGTTAGTTATGATGCATTATGGGAAAACAAACAAGAATTACAAAAATGTACTATTAGTTTAGCTTAGTCATATTACATCCAACTGCATTCATTATTAAAGCAGTTCCAAATTCGTTTCTATACCAGGATTTTTAATTATCTTTTACAATGTTGCGTTGTGTAAAACGAAAATCAAGTAAGAGTAGGACACCAGCAACCGGTAGTTCAAATGAAAGAGGTTGTTCCACATTACCACGTATGTTTTACCGGTCGGACAGTGAAGAAAATGTGTCAGAAAAACCGTCATCTTCGTCCTTTACTAGATTAACAAGATGGACAACAGAAAAAAAGTCTGCTACATTAGCCGCTGGCTCCACATTATCTTCTGGAAATGATACAAAACCAAAGAGTAAACCCCTCACATTTCTGCGCACATTATCTTTGGGTTCATTATTTTCTCCCTCAAGAAAACGTCGAAAAGATGATTCAACCACCGCTTACTCGTCAGGTTTAATGTCACCTGATGTAGAGTTACAAACATTTTCAAATGAGTCACAGGCTAATATTCACCAAGAACAAAATGAAACTGATATTAGTCCATCAGAAGGATCACTCACACCAACTGGAGATGAAACTTATCAATCACAGCTTAGCAAACAAGAGTTATACTTAGAGAAATTAACAAGAGATGCTTATAACTATCTAGGCGATGAGACAAATAAAACTCCGACAGATGAAAATCCGCGTAATGTATCTGAGGCAAAACATTTGAAAAGATATCCAGATGATCAGCATGATTCCGGAAGGAGTTCAACTAGAGAATCAGCGGATGTCTCTGTGGCATCTGAAGGTCCAAAAAAGAAAACAGCCATAAATGATATACCTCTTGAACTAGAAAGGAAAACATCACAACCAGATAAACATTGGCACGTTTCAACTAATGTGAGTTTTTCATTCTTTATCATTTTTATTTATTTGATTTTGGCGTTCTTGAAAATCGACCAACAGACAGTAAAATGAACAATTAAAAACTCTACGATTGCATATGATATATTGTTACAATGGTAGAAATAATTTGGAAAATAGTTCATTGATAGAAAGAGTCCTATTTGATGAGTTTATTTTAAATGTTGTTGAATCCTTGATTTATTTATGTATGGTAAACTATGTGTCACGTTAGAATTTGATTACTTATGTGAAATTTGACTAATTTTTGAGAACAAAAAAATCGTTATTAAATGAAGTAACTTATGAATAATCAGAAATCAGTCACCAATGAGAGTTTTGTTAAGTTGCATGGGTGGTAATCAATAAGTCTGGGTAGGAAAAGCCGTCATCATCATAATGAAATAACAACACTGTTATGAACATATGGGTTAAGTATGAACAGAAAAGTAAAAAAACATATGGGTAAAGGGTTGGAGAGAAAGAAATATACATCGTAGACAAGAAACTATTCGTATAATATTAGGGCTATATTTTCGCTGCATATTAAGCCATCGTAAAAGTAATATTTTCGATATGATTTCATTTATTTCACTGAAATTCCTGTTTATAAGTATGTTGACGGTGTGAAAATAATTAGAATATATTTTATTTATGTCTGATTGTGTATTGTTCACTAAAGAATTAAGGGCTCACAAAAATATGAAATGAAGTCTCTATGGCCTCAAGCTTTATGTCGCAATTTACCAAATTAAGACACTGACATTTAAGTAAAGTGAAAGTAGACGTTTTTAGTTTTACATATTCAGTTCAATAAATTTACCTCATAGAAAAGGAAGTGAATATGCATCTCATTTAAAATTTGGTAATATAAGTCCGCATCTTGTAATTTGGAACAAAATGTATACGAAACATTATTGTTTTTAAGTAGATTTTCATGCGGCTTTACTATAATAGTCATGTATGAAAAATATCAAACCGATCAAGCGAATTCACGCTAAAATATTAATAATAATAAAACTGATTACATAAAGGAAAACTTTTTCTGGTTAGCGATTTTTGGCAAGTTAGTTTTTGACGGGATGGGGTCGCCAACTCCATGCCCAACCCTCCTCCTTTATCCGGGCTTGGGACCGGCAGTAGCCCCGAAGAGTCTACAGAAACTGGAAAGGGAAGCCCAGGAAAGAGTTGGTTGGAGAAAACTGGGGGTAACAGGCGTAAGTAAGTAAGTAAGTACATTAAGGAAAATTATATGTGCTAATTCAGTTAGGAGGAACCAACAATTTGTAGCGAACAGTTGGCTGACCCAACTCACAGAATTTCTGATTACCGATTTTTATAATAACAGACGCTTTGAATGTATTGACTGCTTCAAATTCAATGTTTTGACAAAACCATCTAAATATATTTAGAATCATTTACCATTTTTATCTTTTATGGAAGAATGTACGGTTTGCCAATGAAGTAGTAGACTAAGCGATTTTTCAATAAAAAGCATTATTCCGAATAGTGTTACTTGCTTTGTGTCACTTTGTCTTCCGATAAATTATGGTCGGTGTCTGTATTCGTTTCATATTTTGTTGTACAAAATTAAACAAGCAAAAAAATTAACATAAAGACTGAATATGCCTAGAACTGCTCAACCATTGATTTAGAATTCCCATACAAATATATTTTGGTTCACGGTTTAAGTAAATTTTTGTCAAACAGTCAAACATTTAAGTGGCTAAATACATATACTTTATATTCAGGATTCAAAATGTTCGTTTTTCTGAAATTTATTTTGAGTAACTTGACTTATTCTGACAAAAAAATGAAAGTGTTCAGTGTAACTACATTTGAATTGATTTCTGATTAGTTGAGCTAAATGTCTGTCGTGGTGAGTACTTTTCAAAACTACACCAGAATGTTCAAGTCATTGAATATGTCTATTACTTGAGCAATTGAACAGGACGAGACAAAACATTTGTTTAAAGTTTCATTTATTCAAAAAAAGTTTGTTTTAGTTTATTCTTGTTATAATACCAACTATTGATTGACTGATGCTCCAGTGTTTGTTTTTGGTATTGCCTTTTATTCTTCTATGTTATTCTATCTGACCAAAACGATAGTCAATAACCACTTTTAAATTTTTTAGGAATAATTATGCATTATTCTTGGTAGTACATATCCGAAGGTTGATTATTGACTAGTCCGTCCGAGTAAACATGTGCACAGTTTAATAGGTGAAACAATAAGTAATGACAGAACTAATATTCAATTTAAGCCACCTGCTCTTTTGCAAAACCCTTTATATGATAGTCTGAGTCAGCAGACCTTAATGTAGTCGTGAGCGGTAATTGGACCTACTCGATCTATCCATGTCTTTATTTTATTTTAATTTTTATTACTTACAGTTGTCAAAAACAATCCTTTTTTTTCTTTATAAACTCAATAAACAAATAGAAAAGGAAACTCCATTATCTAAATCAATTTTACTTTGTTTCGGATCAATGAACAGATGATGTTGTATCCAATAACAAACATTGATTAGTTTAAGATAATGTCAACGGGCTAATACTTGAAATAAGTATTAATAATTAATTTTCGTTTATTCTACAACTTAGGCAAGAATAACTGTTGACATTGTTCGTGGAATTAACATTTTAATAGTCATGACTAGTTTTCTGAACGATAAAACTATAAAAATCGGTAACATCTTAGAACCCTTTTAGGGTCACTTATTAGAATGGTATATGTCCTCGATGTTTTCTGAAATCTACCAGAGTGATTTGGTGGATTTTTTCCTGCAAGTTAAGTTCGTCTGTCAAAAAGAACATTATAAACTACTTTTTATGAGACATACCTCCATCAATGAGCAGGAATAATCCGGTACTTTGATTTGAGGTGTATCATTAATTATGCTTGAATATTGAAAGTTCAATGTTGAATTTCTTTACAGTCTATACTGATATATGATCATAGCAACTTCCAACTAAACTCTTTCATGCAAATTATTTCAATCCAATTTGTAATGATGATTTCAAATATTACAGGCTGTAAACAGCTGATGAGAACTAAATGACATAAAATGAATTCGCCTTATCCTGCATAAATATTTGGAAGAGATTATGTGTCCAAAAGTCATATTGGAAGTAAACTCAAGAAATGAAAAAAGACTTGGATTAGTTTACGGGGAGAAGCGTTGGGATCATTTGAATTTCAATCACTTAAATAACACAAGTTAACTTTGTTTCGAAATTCCGCTTTATTTAGAAAAAGTCAACACTAAACTTTCAATATTCGAGCATAATTAATGATACAGCTCAAAGTACCGGATTGTTCCTGCTCATTGATAGAAGTATGTCCGATAAAAAGTAGTTTATAATGTTCCTTTTGACAGACGAACTTAACTTGCAGGAAAAAAATCCACCAAATCACTCTGGTAGATTTCAGAAAATATCGAGGACATATACCATTCGAAAATTTGCTTCGGTAATTAAGCTATAAATTTTAGATTTGAATTGGTATCAAGTCGAATTCAATAAATTCATGACAAATGAATGATACCTTCTACTAAATGTTATACCTTATTCTGAATTCATTTTCGAAAACTGTTTATCACTTTAAATCATTTCGTGTCATTTTTTACGTTAGTCAAGCAGCAAAGTGAATTTTACATTGTTAGTAATATAAAATACTTAAAATGTTTATATCCAAAATCAATTATATTTGTCAATATAATTTCAAATTCTGCTTGAATCAATGTAGCTATTTTTTTCTTTTGTACATTGATTTTGAAGTTATCTTGGAGTTGGAAAGGCTTTTCAGTAAAAACTCATGAGTTGTTTTGTTTTTCCGATCAGAATAAATTAACTATTTTACTCAACAGTGTACAAGAACGGCACATACATCAAAATCTTAGTCGAAATTCATTAGCTTAGAGAAATGTGTACAACAACAGCCCAGAATAACAATTTATATTCATCGACAACGATTTTAAAAACATGTAGAATGATCTCTTAACACACTCTGGTGTTGACGTTAAATTCTGAACTTTCACTCAGTTCGTGAAATTTTCGCGTTCAGTCAGACTAATATCATCAACATATCCGTATACAGGCGGATTTAGCTGCATGACTCAAATCTAAGATTTATGGAAACGTTAATAAATGAATTTAAAATAATTTAAAAATGATATCTGACTAGAAAATAAGACCACTAGTAATTGACGTCTAATAAATACAGCCTTCTGTGAACTTTTTTATTTCACAGAAAAAGACTTTAAAGCGATGTAAGAAATGTATGAAGTCAATTGAACTTGTTCTTTTTTCGTCATTATCAACAATTGAACTTTGTGAATACTTATTCTGTTGATCAAGTGATAGTGACAACTATTCAAAAGTCTGTAGCTGAAGTAACCTTTCGACTCTTTCAGCGTCAATTAATATTTACATATTTGGAATAATCATTCAAAAACTCTTTTGAAGCATCAGAGCTTTAGCTTACACTTTTGTATACAAATATGTTTCACAATGGGTTGATTACATAAAGAGTTTGCTTCTCCTAATTTAGTTTTTGTTATTTGGTAAAAGTAGTAACTGGTGTAGTAACTGGCAGTAATTCATTACAAATAGTGCTTTATTCATTAACCAGATAACAGCATAACCTCAGGGTCAAAGTCACATGTTATCGCAATAAGATTAGCATCCAGGTATGACGAGTTGGAGTTGACATACATCTGTTTATATATAACACGTGACAGACAGTGGGGTTATCTGTATAAACTCTCTTTCTGTATATATATATATGTATATATATATATATATATATATATATATATATATATATATATATATATATATATATATATATATATATATATATATATTCTAATTAAAATGTAGTTGCGTCCTAAAAATTCAGAAAAAATGTATATTATTTAAGAAGCAGAGCTTATTTGAATATAAGAGGGTTTAACGTGAAAAACATGTGCCAATGTTAGAAATAATTGTTGC